TAACCTCACAGGTTTCTTGTTGTAAACAAGGTATACGGCTATTCAATGAAATTTACAATACGACCGACACGAAGAAAGACAAACAAGCAATGTTCATCCAAATGTTTGGTTGAAATGTTTCACCCAACAAGCCTGAAGGGAAGTGAGGGGTTCCAAATCAACCAAAGGCTACGAATGAGTCGGAAATGACAATGAATTTGTGAATGACGGTCGACACATGGAGACATATAGGCCACACCCAGCAGGCAGGTTGCAGTCGGGCCATGAAAAAAGTATTCAGTATATCAGTTCGGCAAAACAGACATTCCGGTCAGATTTTTTTGTTTAAGGCAAAAATCAGAATTTTTTCTCTAAAATATCTCAGACTGCTCCTTCAGATCAAATGGTCCGTACCTTAGACTTTAAATGTATATCTAGAGCTTACTGACTGGGGATCACTATTCAGCAATGTTATTAATGGGCTGGGGCGTGTGGGGTTAAACATGTTTTCGTAGGTAAATAATATTGCTGTGGAACTTTTTTTCATGAGAGTATTACTTTTTGTTGTGTGGAATTGTGAAATAGAAGTCAATACTTTGTCGCTTTGAAGGCGTCATGCTTGTCATCCTCAGCCTAATAGATTATAGTTATCAAAGGTACCAGGTTTATAATTTTGATACGCCAAACGCGCGTTTCGTCTACATAAGACTCATCAGTGACGCTCAGAAAAAAATAATTGAAAAGCCAAACAAGTATAAAGTTGAAGAGCATTGAGGACCCAAACTTCCAAAAAGTTGTGCCAAATACGACTAAGATAATCTTTGTCTGGGATAAGAAAATCTTTAGTATTTCGAATAATTTTTACTTTTGCAAACAGTTAATTTATAAAAAAAAAAAACCATATAATTGATATTCATGTCATCACCGAAGTGCTGACTACTGGGCTGGTGGATACCCTCGGGGACGAAACAATCTGTTACTGTAATTTGAATTTCAAAATGACTGAGTGACGTTTTTTTTTCGACGAACTGGTCAACTCCACCGTAGAGAATCACATGACTTTGACATAATCAATAATATATTACAGTAAATACAAGCGAAAAATATCTTTATAAGTAAAGAATTGTCGCATAAAAATTAAATACACGGGAAATGGCAAAGTTCACGAAGTCTAGTCTGATAAATCATTTTACAATAAAAAAAAAGTGCAAGCAAATGGGGGGCGTACGCCCTCTACGCCCCCCTCTGGATCCGCCACTGAATTTCCTTACGTAACAGATCAGCAAAGAGGTTATAACTGCAATGGATACATAAAGCAAACATAAGCCCTACAAATTATATACATGTTCCCAAAATATCGCCGGCATTTTCATTTTTCAATTCACAATGTCCAGTAACATTGATTTTTTATCTTGGGATGATAGTGATCTCAATCGTGATCTTTTACGTGGTGAATATACTGCATCAGATATTGAATCTGAGGATGACTATACGTCCCTGCTGCAAAGACTGCAAAAACTACAAAAACTCCAAAAGAAGCATCAACCGCAAGTACATGTAAATCAGAACGAAGAAGCTTCAAAATTATGTGACTGAATAATCAAATTATCTCTGTTTACATAAATAGAACCACATTAGTGTAAATTACGATGACATTTTTTCAACACCAGAAATATGTGCCCTCTTTCAAAATCCCAGACAAGAAATTTTGTGCTTCAATACAGAGCCGTAAAGTTTTTGGAAAATTTGAATATTGTCTATTGTTAAAGTGTCGTATGTTTTAGTTATATCGCTATGCTTTTTGTAACCCTAATAATTGAGCAACTCAGATGAAAAGAGTTGTGATTTGCTTTAGTTTTTTTGGCCACAGCAAATATAAATGTGCTTGTTCAATGTTTGGTGACAAACCATGTTAATTGTTGTCGGCATGATGCTTTGTAAATAGGTTCCCTATAACATTTTTTTGTTGGGTAACTGCTGACAGTTTACCATGTGAAAATTCTGAGAAGCCAAAAATAATGCGGAATGTATAAATACGTAGCAATGTCAGATCTAAACAAGAATGTTAAATATGATAGCATATATTGATGTCACCTTTCTGTAAATTCAACTTCGATTCACAACTGCTTGTCAATGGCAAATATTTCATGTACAGTCAGCCTGATTAAATCGAAATGAACTATTTTCAAATTATGTTTAAAGTTTGTTTTTATGTTATGTCGTTACACCAATGTCCCATACTAGTGGTGGTGATGAGCGCCTAAAAATATTTAACATTGTCACATTCTTTATGTGCCCGTCTCAAGTCAGGAGCCTGTAATTCAGTGGTTGCTGTTGGTTCATGTCCGTCATATTTGAATTTTCGTAAATTGCTTTGTTATTGTAGACACTTCGTTTTCTCTAGTGAATTGTTATATATTTTCCATGTCGGGGACTTTTGAAGCTGACTGCACGGTATAGGTTTTCTCATTGTTGAAGGTAATTACGGTGCATTCCAATAACTTACATCCACTTCATTGAACTTCATTTGGACTATAGGAGTTGTCTGATGATCATTAGCAAAAATATATAAAAGTTTGCTTCAAGTGGCTATTCCTTTAATATATAAAGATGTGTGGTTACTTGTTTTTTTTTCTTTCATTGAACTGTTATCCAAACTGAGCGTGTTAGTGAATTTCTGCATTCCTGTCTTAGTTTTAATGTATATAATAATAAAAATGTATATTCAAAGACTTAAATATTTATTTCTCCATGTACGACAAGCATGACAAATTCAATGAAATTAAAAAAAATACTAAAAAAAGTCATTTTCTCCTGTAGTACTTCTCCCTTCTTCTAATGCATGATTTCTTTCTGGGGGTATTCCTACAATAAAGAATATATTATAAATAAAAAGAAATAATCTTTGTCAAGTTTATAGCATAGGCAATTCATTAATTTTTAAGACAGTAATCTGAGACTTGAGACTCAGCAGTAATTGACCAATCATGTCAATATGGATCAAAATAGTAAAACTGATAAAGGATGCAGACCAAAGGTGCATGTACTTTTTACATCATGTTTGGGTCAATAATTTAAAAAAAATACGTCTATTTAGGAACTCATGATGTACTGGTATTTCACATGGTGACACATTTTCATTGCATAATATTATTATACTAGCATGTATAGACTGCATATATATTATCAAGGGAACCAAATATAAATCTAAATTTCTTTCACTAACGATACAAATTCACCTATCAGACCTCATGTTGTGTGTGTGCAACTTGTCTCGTGTGTTTCTCAGTTCTGCGGCGGGAACTTAATGATACAGAAAAATTGGAATTTCATATAATTACAAATTTTACATCATTACATCGGTTAATTACTAAGGCTTGCACATACATTATCCGGAAAACATATTGTTCATCTGAATGTAAGTTATGGGTGAGTTGCTCATTGACCCTGTCCCACGGACTGGTAATAATTCGAGGTTACTTTCCGGTTTGGTCGGTATATTCAAGTCTATAACTGCACTTATTTTATTTAAAGTGCTTATAAACCAACATTTATGAACATGTCAAATCTTAAATTCACACTTACCGGAACATAACACTCTTTATAAATCCACATTTGTTAATTATTATAAATTTTCTCTTTCGCTGTCAAAAATGGCGGTCGAATCCTTCTTGTCAATCATTGCGAGTCACGTGCCGAGTCACGTGATCGAAGACTCACAATTAATTACTATTTGACTGGTCAGTACGGGAAGTGACCAATCTCTGTGTTATAGTAGTCTCAGGAAGGATCAACTTCAAATTTGATGTCAGGAAAGATTATAACGTTAAATATATAAATATAAGAAAAAAAATAATCGTTAAAGTGTTGTAAAACTTGACCTGACCAAAGTCGACTCTGCCCTGACTAATGTCCAGACCGATGTAAAATTGCTAATTTCTTTTTTGTTCTTCGAAGGATCGACTTTAAATTTGATGTCAAGGAAGATTATAACACTAAATATATGAATAAAAGAAAAAAGAAAAAAAAAATATTTTTAAGAGTTAGAAAACTTGACCTGATCAACGTCGACTCTGTCCTGACTAATGTCCTGCCCGATGTAAAAATGTTAATAACTTTTTTTATTATTGAAAGAATTGACTTAAAGTTCGTTACCAAGGAAGATTATAACATAAAATATAAGAATGGATGAAAAAAAATGTTTGTTAGTTTTTGAAATGTTAGACCAACTTCATCTTTGCCATGATGAATGTCCTGACCGATATAAAAATGTCAATAACTTTTTTGTTGTTGAAAGGGATATTATCAAGTTTGGTATCAGGGAAGATGACAACATTTAGTATAAGACTTTTAAAAAAAATTGTAAAAAAAAAATAATTTTAAAGGTAAAAAAAACTCGACCTGACCAATCTATACTTTGTCTTTGCCAATGTCCTGACCGATAAAAAAAGAAAAATAATAACTGTTTTTTCTTTCTCAAAAGCGAGAATAAACTTCTTTGAATTTTCTTCGATCCTTCGAAGAACAAAAAAGAAATTAGCAATTTTACATCGGTCAGGACATTAGTCAGGGTAGAGTCGACTTTGGTCAGGTCAAGTTTTACAACACTTTAAATTATTTTTTTTTGTATTTTTTCTTATATTTATATATGTTACGTTATAATCTTCGTTGACATCAAATTTGAAGTCGATCCTTCAAAGAACAAAAATGTTATTAGCATTTTGCATATTGGTCAGGACATTAGTCAGGACATTGGTCAGGACATTAGTGTAACCCTTCTTTTTGTTAATTTTTCTCTATTCGTGATTTTTTTTTTTTTGCAATTATTCGCTATGCTGTAAACCCCATCTAGATCCTCTTATATATGTATTTATAGATATTTAACTTTGAGATAATGTTTGTTCTCACATGGGAGATCACTCTTGAGCACCTTGTAGAAAAGTGTATGAATGAAATGACGTCATTTTATTGACAACCAACCAAACTCGTGTTTACATCGAGAACTTGGTGACAATTTACGTTATCAACAGCATCAACACTAACAATATGGCGCTAAACGTCAATTTGGAATCCAGGTAGCAAAATTGTAATCAACGAACCATGGACGATTATAGGTTTTAAAATGATAAAGTATATGTAAAGTTCCAGCAATATATATAAACCGCAAAGTGTGCTTAGTTGTCAAGTCCATACACGCCGATAACTGCACATTTATTTTGGGAGGTCGTTCACATAGTTCACGTTACATCTTGTTGAATGTTTTGACTTTTTCGTGTGTTAAAAGTGCCAATATTATCCTTTGATTGGAATTAAATTATTAAAAATCAAATGGAAGTAGGAACGAAAATAAATCGATGTCAAATGTTTTCAAAATGTGATTGTTTTGGTTACTACGAAAGTGCATAGTGAAATAAAGTCTCCTGCTTTCTGTTTTCGAAGCATGTCAAATGTAAATATATTGTCATTGGATTTACATCCTGCTAATGTGCACAAAACACATGGTGGTAAGAAAGGGTCAACATCGTTGATTAAATATGAGGATGAACTAATTCCTATAGTAACACCACGATTAAATCAATCACAGGGTTCAAAAAGAGTAGCGGCAGGACCTATTGTAACCACTAGTGATGAAGAAAGTGACAGTTTGCCACCAAGTCCGAGATCTAATGATACATCTTTAAATCAGAATCGTGAGGCTTGTGAACATGATCATGACTATGAAAATGTGGCATCACCCAGTGGCAGTAGTACTGCCAGTGGCCCTACATATGAACGACCTCCTGGATTTAAGTTTCATGCACATGAAATAAAAAAGACTAAAAAGAAAAAGACAAGTGTTTACTTTGGTGACTTTAAAGGTGGATTAAAGAAACGGGCACCAACACCTCCAAAAGTGAAACCTAGAAGAGGTAATAGATTGGTACAATGTACTTGTTCATAATGTTCATGTATCACTGATTCATAATGTACTAGTACTAGTGAAGATAGATTTTACAAAATTTAAAGAAAATACTTTTTTGTCGCATTATTTCAGGGATCTCATTAGAAAAGTATACGTAGTAGTACATACTAATTTTTGGCTAATGATATTATCATGTTGATTCTATTATTATATATTGCTTAGACTTCATTTTCTACAAAACATCTTGTCTTGAACCCCTTTTTTTGGGGGGAGGGGGAAATTGTACAAATTCAATAATGATAACCGATTTACATTGTATACTCAGTATACTATTGAAAAATAAAGCAGTAAGGAAATTAGTGATGATCACCCAAAGGCAACTCCCCTACACATATACATGCGTATATATCATATTTATATTTGTTCATTTTTTTTTTTACATAAATCGGGCCGTTAGTTTGCTTGTTTGAATTATTTTACATTTGTCATTCTGGGGCTTTAAAATACAAAGAATGTATTCTACATGTACATGTAGCTGACTATGCTGTATGGGTTTGCTCATTGTTGAAGGCCAACGGTGACCTACATGTACATTGTACTAATGTATAGTTCTGTGTCATTTAGTCTCTGGGGTAGAGTTGTCTCATTGGCAATTTAAAACCACATCTTCTTAGTTTTATATCAGAGGAATGGAGGAGAAAGTTATTATACATGTATCCACAGGTCATTGAAAGTTTTTCAATACCAATCAAAGTCAAACACTGTAACTTGAAGTAAAAGTTACACAGTACAGATGCAGATCCAGGATTTTGAAAAAAAGCAATGTTAAAAGAGTGTCAGAGACATGTGATTGGTTTATGTATATATATACATTAACAAATATACATGTATGTAGCTACATGTATATACATGTAAGGGTGACCCAAGCCCCCTGGACCTCCTCTACCGCCCCTAACTCTGCATGGCAGTATCTGCAGTATACAGTTTTACTGAACTAGTACACATTTTTGTTTAGGGGCCAGCTGAAGTCTGCATCCGGGTGAGGGATTTTCTCGCTGTGTTGAAGACCCATTGGTGGCCTTCGGCTGTTTTCTGCTCTTTGGTCGGGTTGTTGTCTCTTTGACACATTCCCCATTTCCATTCTCAATTTTATTGTAGAATGTACTTGTACATGTATGTATTAGATAGAGGTCCCAAATAAGGAAAACAGGGATAATTCACTTTTCATTTGTCATTTTTGTAGAATTTCACAATGTCACTTTTTAAAATGGGGACTCTTTCGAAGCCTCAACAATTCTGGCAAATAAACTATGCGTTTTGTACATGTACAAACAAATGTACATGTACGTCATGTATATCACAGTCTCACAGATGACCCCATCATCATGTGCCACCTTTTTCATTTTTATTTTGACATTTGTTCTGCTTAATTTTGAACTTTTATATTCATGTTCTATCACATTTTTGTAAGACCAAAAATCAAATTTAAATTTTTTGGTGTTGCCTACCTACCCACCTGAAAACAGCCTACCAGAAAAATTTTATGACATACATGTATCATTTCATTTTTTTTTCCCTGCTCTAACTTCATTTTCTTGTCTAAAACATGTAACTTATATATGTTGTTGGCCAAAAAAAAAAAAGAAAAATTCCTACCCACCTAATTATAACCCACCCTTCAACATGTTCAAGGCATGGGTAAGCAACATCAAACAAATTTTTTTTAAGGATGGCCTAAATTAATGTTAATGAACTTTTCTTCTTCTACGTTGTACTTCAAATTGTCGAGTACATGTAGACTATATGTAAATTCATAAATTATTGTGAGGTTTTTATTAATGCAAAAAAAAAAATAATGGTGAGTATCCCAATAATAAATCTTGCATTTTGGTTTGTCATGTCAAAATCACAATAATAAATCTTGCATTTTGATTTGTCATGTCAAAATCCCAATACTGCAAATGTAAACATGGTAAATGCTTCCAATAAATTCTGGGTTTACAGTAATGCTTTTAACATTTAATTTGTACATGTACAAAAAATGTACAAAATGTACCTCTTAATTATTTTGATGATACATTGTAGCATGTACATGTACATATATACATGTCAGTGGCGGATCCAGGGGGGGGGGGGGGGGGGGGGGGGGGGGGTTCCGGGGGTTGGAACCCCCCCTTTTTTGACGATCAATGCATTTGAATGGGGACATATAGTTGGAACCCCCCCTTCATCCTGGGTTAGGAACCCCCCTTTTTATAAATGACTGGATACGCCCCTGCATGTATACATGTATCATCTGACTACAATTGTCATGATTTGAGGCCCTTTCAAAAACACGACATTTGATTTAATAAGGAAAACACATGGAAAGGTACACAAGGTATGTAAATGTACATGTATTATATAAATATAAATAAGATGTGGTATGAATGCCAATGAGACAACTCTCCATCCAAGTCACAATGTATAAAAAGTAAACAATTATAGGTCAATATGGGCTTCAACACAGAGCCTTGGCTAAGACCAAACAGCAAGCTTTAAAGGGCCCCAAAATGGCTAGTGTAAAACAATTCAAACAGGAAAACCAGCGGTCTAATCTATATAAAAAACAAGAAACGAGAAACACTTATGAACCACACCAACAAACGACAAGACCACTGAACAACATGCTCCTGACTTTAGGACAGGTGCATACAAATGCAGCAGGTTTAAACATTTTAACAGGCACCAACCTTCACCCTAACCTGAGATAGTAGTGTAACATTACAACATAAAAAGACATACTATAAAATATCAATAGAAATGGCTTAAGACCTTCTTGAGGACATATCTTATTCTTATTAAGATACATGTACATGTGCATTTTTACACAGTATAGCTTCAAAAACCCTGGATTGCATTGTAAACATTAAGCAGATGCTAAATTACTCATCCTATTGAATAGAATATCAGTTATCACCTCTGCTCTGACAGATTTAATTCTAATTAATTAACTCCTCCTTTTATACATGTATATAAAGACATTACCATTGATTTTAGCATCATACAATGTAACAAGAATGAGAAATATGGGAAATTCCAAAGTCTATTGACTCAGTTGTTTATGTTCTGTTGTAAGAATCAATATACCTGAAATATACGTGAGAAATTAACGCCAGGTAATTTACAAGCTGAGCCAGGTACTTATCAAAGACATTGTCCATTGTTTCAATTATTGATAAACAAATATAAGCAAAATTCAATAATTGATAGTCAGCTCAGGGTCATTATGATGTTAGCTTCAGATTTTCATCCCATAGGGAATATTCAAATGGGTTTTACCTCATCGGATTTTCATTTGCCTTCATTTGCAAGTCCTTTAATCACAAATCAGATATTCATCGCAATTAACGTAAAATTTACAATTATGGAAGTGAAAACCCACGAGAACAGCACTTTTGAATTATTATTTGAAAAATTACATTTATAGTTACATGTATGACCGACATGTAAAAAGAATATATACATGTACATGTCATAACGCTAGCGCTATCCATTAATTAAAGTTTGGACTCACTGTGGCCTGACAATTTCTGTTTTAGTCTTCAATGCACACGCTCATAAGCATGCTAAGTGTGTTTCTTGAGGGGAGAGGGGATTGTAAAGTAGTATATACATATACATGGTACATTTTGTTTTTTTTTGTACTTTTCATATTGTACAAAAAAAGTATATAATTAATCACACTTGAGCAAATTCAATAATTGCTTCATGATCAGTTCAGGGTCATAATTTAGTTAGTTTTAGATTTTTGATCCATAAGGAAAATTCTAATGATTTTTGCTTCATTGGATTTTTATTCTTAATTAAACATCATTAATTTACATCAAGTATTAGTTTTATTATTAAGGTGAAAAATTAGAATTCTGATATCCCATCATCCCAGGAGTGTGCAGTGCTTATAAATGCATTTGTGTTTTTATTCGTAAAAAAAAGATACAAATAGAGTCATGAACAGGGAAAAAAGTAAAATCACAAAAATACTGAACTCCGAGGAAAATTCAAATAGGAAAGTCCCCAATCAAATGGCAAAATCAAAAGTTCAAACACATCAAACGAATGGATAACAACTGCCATGTTCCTGACTTGGTAACTAGATAGTTTAGTTACAATGTATTCATGTATTGTACAATGTAGTCCATAGATTATTTGATCCATTTCTGTTTTTGGTCTTCTATCAATGAATTGATTGATTGATTGATTGGTGGTTCTTAAAGCCACTCTTTTGCTTATACAATGGATTTTGGCTTTCCCTTCATCATTTGTTCATTTGTAATTCTTTAATCACACATCAAGTATTCATTGTTTTTAAGGTTAAAATTTATAAATCTGATGTCCTAATCATGATGAATACACTCTGTGCTTATCATGCTTATGAACTTTGAATTTGCAAAATGCATACATGTACATGATATACAGTATAGATTAGAAGGTGTGGATGGGTGTTTACAGAATAGAGAATAATGGACCAAAAAATAAAGAATAGAGAAAAATGGACCAAAAAAATAAAGAATAGAGAATAATGAGGTGCTAAAATATAAAGAATAGAGAAAAATGGCATACAGAAATTAATGACCCCCCATCCAAACCCTCGTAAAAGTATCGTATACATGTAGTCATGAATTCGGAAGAATACATGTAGTTGAGTGCTGTTAAGTCTAGCTTTAGTTGTTTTGAAAAAGTCCTTAAAACCAACTAACTTGATGCACAATGAACATACCATTCATGTACAGTATGTTCAGTTTATTGTTTAATTTTATCTTGTCCTTGATACATGTACATGAAGTATGAAAAATTTGTCAATGGACATTAAGCCTCCTGCAATAAATCAGATATACATTTTGTTAACTGAAACTGAGAGTGTTTTACAATGCATTATTTTTTAAGTCCTCAATTTTTTTAAAGCAGCAATAAATTCTTATTTTTTCAGAGTGTTCTATGATTGTTTAGTATATATATATATAATTGTATGTAAAATTCATTTTTTTCCAATCTTTGATCATGTTGATATCCTCCTGAATACATGCAACCCGCTGCATTTTTATGCATCTGTCCTAAGTCAGGAGCCTTAGCTGTTCAGCTGTTGTTCAGTGGTTGTAGTTTGTTGGTGTGGTTCATAAGTGATTCTCGATCGTTTCTTGCTTTTTATATATAGATTAGACGGTAGACCGTTGGTTTTCCTGTTTGAATTGTTTTACACTAGTCATTTTGGTGCCCTTTATAGCTTGCTGTTCGGTGTGAGCCAAGGCTCTGTGTTGAAGGCCGTACTTTGATCTATACAAATGTAATTGTTATCTTTATATACATTGTGACTTGGATGGAGAGTTGTCTCATTGGCACTCATACCACATCTTTTTATTTATATGTACAATGTATGCATGAGATACATGTATTTACTACCAGATATTTAGCAAGAATATATTAATCAAACTTGCAATTTTTTTGTTATGACTTGATACAATGTATTATAAACCATGAAAATGAATTTAGTCTTTTCATGATCAGTTTTAAATTGGTTAAGAAAAATATAATAAAATAGTACATGTACATGTTGCATTGTCAAGATGATTTGATACGTATATAAAGACACCATGTAATTAAATTGTCAAATAAGGCTATCCCAATCTCTAATTTTTATGAGAAAAAAGGTCGGTCATGTGGATCTCAAACCACAAATTGAACTTTTATTTTTGTCCAGATAAGAGTACAATGATGATGTACTTGGTATACATTTATACTTGAAATATAAACTTTTAAGTAGAAAACCAAATAAAGATTTATTCTCTTTATGTACTTTCCGTCATAATTTAGTACTTTGTTTAACCTGTCCCTGATGTTAAACATACAAAATTTACATTGTTTGAATTCAATTATATACTACCCTTAGTGTTAGTCATGGTCGATTTTATCAGTATTACTTTTTGCTCTAAACTTTCTTTGTAAAATGGTTCAATAAACAAACTCAACGATCTTTCATATGATAATAAGACTTGAATGTCCACAACGTCTTTGTTTGTAAATAAATGTCTTTGTTGATAAAAAAGACGTAATTATTGTTATAGATTTTTATGTAAGTTCGACTGTATTTATTGGGTTTTGTCATGAAAACTTTTTAGAAATGCTGGTAGTAATTGAAATCTGTTCATTAAAAGATGAATATTAGGTTTTCCAAACTTAGTTGTACTGACAAAGTACTAAGAGGGAAATGATAAAATCATATTGTTTAAAAAATGAAACAAAAAAATCCCAATTTTACCGTAGTGAAAGCAGAGACATATATATATATAATTCGTCTCAAATTTAGCCCAACAATGTTAGATCTTCAAATTTGTGTAAGAAAATTTTTGTTCTTCCCTCAGCCAGAATCGAACCCTTGCTTCTGTGACATCGTGGCAACACCGCCTGCACCGTGTCCAAGGTCCTAGACCACTCGACCACCTAGCTAGGCTACATAAAAATATAGCTTTCGGTGGTCGATGTAATGCCTTTCCTCGTTGGCTTTATATATACAAATGTACATATATATAATTTTTAATCCATCCAAGACACAAAATCAGTACATGCACAGCAAAAAATACACAAAACAGCAAAGGAACAGTACTTTATTGAAGTTCTTCATCTCAAAGTCACAGTGAGGTCTTCAACAGGCAGCAAAAAAAACTCCCACCTACATTGTAACTGCAAGTTTAAGATGGCCACTAGCACGGTTTGAGCGGATTTCTTTGCAAAATAATTTGGATAGATTTTATTATCTGATGTAACACTTCCAAATATACATCATGTACATATAAATTTTTGTCTCTGGTGACAGTCATAGTTGTAGGGTATTTATTTACTCGAGATAATAATTACTTCTCTTGTGTGAACTTCTTCACATTTTGGTGTGTCTGTTTGTTTATCAAAGTTGATTTGCTGCCCATCCAGAGTTCTTGAAATCTGTTTTTTCCCGATGGTCCTTGAAGAAAATCTGCGGGTTCTCACTATTATTTCTATGACAAAATACCAAAATTGTGTCGGTCCTTGAAAAATTTTGGTGGTCAAATCCTTCTGACCACCACTTTTCGAGAACTCTGCCCATCTGAATTATTTACCAAATATCAGTACATGTATATACATACATTATTACTTGCTGAGTTACTACACATAACACATATCTCTTTGTTTCCTTACCACATTATTGTACCATTATCAAGTAAATAATGACTCTCAATACCAGTGATTTGGAGACACATCATGAGCTTGCAATAACGTGAGATTTTGCTCTGTTATGAATGCCACTGTGACTTTTTAGATGAAGATCAGCAGTAAAAGCTCTGTTCCTTCTATTAGTTTTGTCAAGTGCTTGTGACAAACCATATCCCAGGACCCTTCATTTCAATACAACTGTGTCCTATTGTAAATGAGACAGCAACTCAAAACATAACAGAAGAAAAAGTCTTCATGTAACACTGTTGATCATTCTTTCTTGTTTTCTTTTATTGTAGACTCGGTTCCTATGCGGTTGCGGGCATTACCACAGTCATTTTGGAAACAACCAAATTGTCCGAGCAATGTGTCACCTGGTAACCTGTTTCCTTCATTACCACCATTAGGGACTAAGGAAACAGGGGAAGACTTTCAAGGTAACAGTAGTTGTAAAAATATTTAGAACTTTCTACAAATTAATTTTTTGAAGAAAAAAACTAGTTCACCTTAAAAAATATTAGACAAAAAATGTTATAACAAAAATACTGAACTATAGTCTAAGGTAGATTCAAAAGGGGGAAATCAATACAAATTGACTAAACCAAAAGCTCTGGAAAACAACTGTCATATTCCTGACTTTTACAGTAAAATTATATTATTTTGCAAACCATTGACCTTTTATGATCTGTGAATGAAACAATTATAATTGATTTTAAAATTGCATATCGGATTGATCAACCTGACTATCCATTATAACTGACCGTCAAATTTGCTATGCTTGTACTTGTACGTATATTTTTCCAGTCTGCAAAATATGAAAATTGAAATAAGAATTAAACAAATGATCCATTAGTACAAATAGCCAGGCATTGAAACATATTGGCACTGATTCTAAATTTAGGAAAGGTAATACTGAATTCATTCAGCAACATATTGGCACTGATTCTAAATTTAGGATCGGTAATACTGAATTCATTCAGCAACATATTGGCACTGATTCTAAATATAGGATCGGTAATACTGAATTCATTCAGCAACATATTGGCACTGATTCTAAATATAGGATCGGTAATACTGAATTCTTTCAGCAACATATTGGCACTGATTCTAAATATAGGATCGGTAATACTGAATTCATTCAGCAACATATTGGCACTGATTCTAAATATAGGATCGGTAATACTGAATTCATTCAGCAACATATTGGCACTGATTCTAAATTTAGGATAGGTAATACTGAATTCTTTCAGCAACATAGTAGCGCTGAATCAAAATTTTGGAAAGGTAATACTGAATTCTGTCAGCAACATATTGGCACTGATTCTAAATTTAGGATAGGTAATACTGAATTCTTTCAGCAACATATTGGCACTGATTCTAAATTTAGGATCAACGTTACTTATAGATCGTGATATCTTTACATACAGAAACATGCCAAGACAAATTTATCTTGACCTGGATGCATTAAGAAGCCATAGATTACTAAAGGTTTAAATTTATCTATATTATATGTTCTATGAAGAATGAGGAAGGATATTCTGGATTGTGCTTTTTTGTACTGGTATTTAAACCTTGGATAAACTGGGCAATGTTTGTCTACGTTGTCAAAATAATCAGCATTTAAAGTTAATCTGGTAAACGTAATTCCTGATATGTACTTAGAAATAAAATTCATAACTTGTGTAGGGCGATTCAACATGTGCTGTTACCGTGATTTTTAATGATTTATTTTATCATTTCTTGATATGTTTTCATAAAAGAATGTATGATTTACACAAGTTTAAATACATGTATTTAAATCTGTTAAAATCAAGACTAATAAATCAAGAACCCATAACAAAGACCTTTTCTGTTGAAATATTAGGCCATTTTCTGTCTTTGCTTTATTGGTTTGTGTGTTTTTTTATTTTTGGTATATGTTTACTTTTTAAATTTTAAGGTTGAACCTTTAAGGGAAAACTGTTTGAAGTGGCAACATACATTTTTTTGTACATACATTGTATGTTTCAAAAGCAAAATAGATTGACATCACAAGAAATAAAATAATATTTGTTGCTGCCAGACATATTTAGTTTTTGCTACTACAGTATTGTAATGATATGTGTTGAAGGTGACCTTTTTTTTTCCTTAAAAAAAATTAAAATGCAAAAATGTCTAAATTTTTTCCTACATGTATTTTAAATTCCTAAATGTACCGATAGGTTTGTTTCATGTAAGTAATTATAGCTGATTTCAGTTTGTAAATTTAATCCTATTGAACAACACTTTAACAAATACAGGTATTAAGCCCTCCCAAATTAAATATTTTATTCATGCTTAAGAAAAAGTAGTTTCATATTTGAAATACATAGAATGCTTAAGATTAATGATCTTTTAAAAGAAATAACAAAGAAAACAACTATACGTATACAGTATGTGTTTTTCTCATTGTTGAAGGCCATACAATTGCCTATAATTGTTTACATCCACTTCATTTTTTTTTAACTTTGTTGGATAGTTGTCTCATTGGCAATCATACCACATCTCCTTATTCTTATATTTGTAAAGAGAGGAAAAGAATGGCAACTCTGCAGGTTGATGTTTATTACGTTATTTGCTAATAAAGGCATAACAAGATATGATGCATGCCTGAATATTGAACATGGCACAACTATTTTGAAACTGGCAACTCATAGTTTATGCTGGTGCTTTTTCTGTGACAACATTTTGGAGGCCAGCATATAGTCCCAGTTTAATATATAACATTTGTTAAAATAATGAACATAGTATTATGTATAGATGTGAACATTTACATCTGTTTTTAATTACCAAACAGCTGGTGATTGCATTTCACTTATAACCTTGAAGATCATTACTTAGGAACATTGCAACTTAACTTTTAGCTGTCAAAATTAAGATACACATGTAGATAATCATATGTGAGGAGGATGACACATTTTTGTGATGTGGGATATTATAGGGGTAAAAAATAGTGGGATGTGAGATTTTGGGGTTAAAAAATAGTGGGATGTGGCCATCATGTGGGATATAGGGGGTAAAAAAGAGTTGGGTCTATGAAAAAGAAGGTAAAGTAGAATTTGGGAAATGAGCACCCTGTGTATCCCCCTAAATAATGTGCAAAAAAAAAACATTGTAGACTGTAGATGCTTATTTTTTATTTTTTTACGCAAGTTACACAAGAGATACATGTACATGTACTTAAATGTAGAATATGCTAAGCAAGACTTCCTTTTGATGCCCTCAACTTTTTTCTGTGAGTGTGCTTATTCTGTTAACAGTGGGTCAATAAGGGTCTTATTAATCTGCTTGAGAATTACTACAAATTCAATTCAATTTTAGAAGAATGAAATAAGTCCTGCGACTAACTTCCTTTGCAAGAGACTACATAGAATCCAGGATGTGGAGTATAAGATTGATAACCCTAATTGCAGGAGCACCTTTTCTGAGAAAATGAGAGATTTCATTCTATCTTGTTTATGGATTCTTGTAAAATCTAAATTAAGGTTAATTCTCTTGTGGCACCAAGCCCCCCCCCCCCCCCCCCCCCTTTCCCCCCCAAATAAGACACAGTCAAATTACTGTCAAATTTGTGTCAAAATAAGGTCCTCTAATTCCTAATAATGGAGTGCTCCTCCTCCTCCTCCACATCAAATCCTGGATCAGTGTGTGGCCTTGACTTCCTTTTAACGCACAAGCAATTTCTCTAATCCTCATTGCCAGTTATCATAGCTAGACATAAGACTATTTTTATAATTTTAAAAAATGCCCATGGTAAATTCTCAAGTTATGCATTAAATTAATCTCAGTTGCTAGAATTGATTTTAAGCTCTTAAATCTAAATTTTAAAAGGCTTTCATTATAAATTTTTATTCTTACATTATTTAAAGATTGAAATTAGCTAATAGTTAAGTTGAATTAATTACATGTCAAATTCCAAAGGACATACTAGTGTTATAACTAAGTCGTTGGTTGTTGTTTGTAAGTTGCTACCAGGTATTTGGGGAAGGTCATTATAGGAACAAATATTTTTTAGGAATAGAAGACAAATTAAAACTAGACAAGAAATAAACTTGAGACCTAAAATTAAAGGCTAAACTTAAAGACTTATAATCTGTTTACATGTCTCAGGTTCACCAAAAAAAAAACATAACTTTTCGTGCTGACACAGCCTGACACTAAAGTTTTGTATTTGTTTTTTAATGTTTTTTTTTATCATTTAATTTTAAATAAACAATTACATGTGTCATTGTGTAGAAATTTTAACCAGTTACAATTTCTTGAAATCATTAACAGTATAGCCTACCAGTTCTAATTTCTTACAAAGGTGCATGTACAGAAGAGATATGCCTTGCCAATGAGACAACTATCCACCAAAGTTCAAATAAAGTGGATTTAAGCAATTATAGGCAACTGTACGGCCTTCAACAATGAGAAAAACCCATACCGTATAGTTGGCTATAAAAGGCCCCGAAATGAAAAATATGGAACAATTCAATTGAGAAAACTAACGGCCTAGTTTATAACAAAACAATTAATGAAAAACAAATATGACAGACATGAACCAACGACAACCACTAAACTACAGGTTCCTGACTTGGGACATAAGGCACATAATGAATGTGACGGGGTTTAAGTGAGAGTTCAACCATCCCCTTAACCTGGGACAGTGGTGTAACAGCACAACATACATGTAAGAACAAACTGTAAAAATCAGTCGAAAAAGGCTTAGCTCATCAGATCGATACAAAGCAGAAAACATAACTCATATATGCCCCTTTTTAACTTGAAAAATTGCAAAGCTTAAGCGGGGGCATTTGTGTCCTCAGAGTGGCTCAGACACATTCTTCTTTTATTTTTCTCTCTTCCTGTTTACTCAAACAATTTATTTCATTTCAAGAAATTAAAATCACGAATATATATATATATATATATATATATATTTTGTTATCATCTTCTACTCCTCACCAAAAGAAGAATGGTTGGTTCCTTTTACATGTTTTAAATGCATAGTTTCGACAACTGTGCATATACTTTCAAATTTAAACGTTTAAGTTGTACTTATTTTTTCATTTGACAAATCAATATTTAGTAATGGTCATTTATTATTCCAAGCCTCATACATGTGTTATCATAGCTGTGTTTGCACGTAACTATTGTAAACATTTTTTTTTACATTTCCATTGATGAATTTGTCTCAGGTGAAAAGCCAGAACTCTCAAAGTTATCTTTTCTAACAAATTGTATTAATAGGTAAACATTATTAAATCAATTTCTACCTAATTCGGTATGTTTTTCTTTGAGGTAGTTAATGATTGGTTACCTAGTTACAAAAGCTATTCATTCAATACAGCATCAAAGTAGGACATTTTTTCCCTGTTTTCTTTGACAATTTTAGAATGTTGTTGCACCAGGCAAGTGTATGATGATTTGTTCAAAC